AAACTACAGGCAATTGCAGTCTTTCAATTTCTAATAAACAGTAAACACTACTGCCAGTCTGTGGAGATGCTTAAGAAGGAGCTAAGCAGCATACACACAGAAGTGATCAAGCTGACACAGTATGCCTGGAGTTTCAAACAGCATTAGAAATCAAACTTCCAAGACATAAAAGGAAAAGTCCTCTTGTTAATTACTGTCAAGTTAAGTGAAAGGAAGTGGGAGATAAAACATGTGGTCAATTCTCACACGAGTGAGATAAGATACCCAAGGCACCTGTACTAGAACTTACATTCCTGATTTGCAGAAATAGGCCAATACCTTTGTATAAGTGAAAAACTCTTATTATTCCATATTGCTAAACATTCTTTTTTCTTTGTATTTATGGTACATAAATATTCTGTATGAAGGAAGAACTCTATAAGAGATGGAAAGCCAGATAAAAGTAGCTACAGCTAAATTCTGGAGAATGTCTTAGCACTAAATGAAGTCAGTGATATTCTGTGGTCATCCTGGCAAAGGCAGCTCTACATCAATAGCATCTGCATCATTATTTCACATGTGCTCCTCATTAATAAGACAGCACAACCATCACTGACAGATGGTTGTTTTAAGTGGGCAATGATTAGCTCTGAAGTCAGACAACAGGCCAAGATCACTATATGACATTGAACAGTGGTACTGTAACTCCAACTCTAAATGCAGATATAAGCTAATTAGGTTATATGCCATCACTCTCCCCCCCCTTTTTTTCCTTTGTACTTCTAATTAACAGTTGGTAGAGAGTAATAGAACAGATGAAAATCCGAAAGTCCAACATTTATCATCATGAAGAACAGTTTGTTGTGCCTTTTTTTATTCCTTCATCCCAATCATGATAAATGTTCCTTCAAACAAGATATACTGCCAGAGTGAAAAAATAAAAACCTGTCTCATTTCTGCTTCATGCCATGGAGAGAAATGGCAATATGAACATCATTATCAAATTTATTTTGTCTTCCTCCACTGAAGATAACTATCTTGAGTCCTAGAAAAGAGAAAGCTGTATTATGCAGGAAGAACAGCTGGTAAATCCAAAATATTTGAACTCTGGTGGAAAAAAAAAAATAAATTATTCATCTCGTTCAAAAAATGGAAATGTTTCAAAGGAATCAAGAACTTACCAGCTAGATCTGAAACTCACATGCTCCTTATTTGCTTCAGGGCATTTTGGATTTACTTTTTTTGCTACTCATACAAACAACAATTATTAAAAGCTCCTTCTCTTTCTGCCTAGGTGATATATTCCCTGATTGCAGAACCAACGTTCAAGTGAAACAGTCCCCTCATTACACAGCTTTAGCAGTATCTATAAGAAGCAACTATCAGTAAATCTGAAGAGCTAGTCACATCAGTAGTTTGGCTTTCATATTCCCTATAAGCAATGTCATACAACTATCATGACACTCAACATCATTATCTCCCAACAATGAACATTACAGTGCTCACATGTTTGTCATATCCATAAAGAAAGGTCTTAGCTGCTGTTAGAGGATGCACTGTTGTCCTCCTCCAACAGTTAACAATTTATCTCCTTATATGACTACATTTGGGTGTGCTTTAAGCAATTATCTGCATCTGCAGAATCCTGTTTCATGCAGTACTCTAGACCCTCAGTGTACCAGAATTTTATGTTAGACTAGTAACTACAGCAAAGCAGTTGTAAAACAATTCTCTCCCTTACTAAACATCTTATTTCCAGTACAAAACAAAAAAAGGTTGCATACCAAGTTCCTTAGAAAAGGAATCATATGTCTACTAATGAATTATCAAGAAAGTTTGCTGAACAATCTAGCCCTGTTCCTATGGGTTAAACATGCCATATTAGAGGCTCCCCTAGATGTTTTTATACAAACAAACAAAATCAATACTAGCAGTGTTTTAAAGGAGACAGGTTTATTTTTAACAACTCCTTACAACTGCTGACTCATGGAAGAATACCAGAGAAGCATTCACATGCAATATTATTATGAGGGACTTAGAAAAAACAAAACAAAACAAAACCAAGAGAAGTCCTTAATCAGTTACTCATTTTGAAATCAAGTTTTCTGGTATTTGCAGCTATTTCATAAATGAAGTTTGACATTTGACTGTAATTCTTGCTAGCTTATGCTAGCAATCATAAAACAGTAAAAAAGAGGTGACAGTATATGACACTTCTAGCACTTACTCATTCTAGTAAGGCAGCAATTGTACGAAGTTTAATAGAATGCATCTCATAGCTCTATTTGCAAGTGAGCACCACACACAGGTATTGAGAGGCAAAGTATTAAATTTGTTCATTTTTAGAATTATTCACATTGGTGCCCTTATCTAAATGAATTATTATGTGAGCAGAATGTCTTAGGAACTACTCTATGATAGAATATTCTCTAATCATGATTAGTTAGACTTACAAACAATTATGGAACATACAATGTGTTGCAGCTTTGGATCATTACCCATGGAAATGTAATTCAGAAGTACAAACAATAATTATTTCCGTCATTCCTTTTACTGAAACATAGCTCCTTTAAATTAGGACATTGATAAGTTAGCACAGCAAATATAAGATTTTTAAATGGTTAATTTGATAAAGAATTAAATGAGCTTTTAACTGAGAAAGCTTAATCTTCCTAACAGCCTGCATACAAGTTGCTCCACCTCTTTAGAATGCCTACTAATATAATGGACTAATAAATGATTAAAGATATATTTTCTATGGTGGCATCCAGCCTCTGGGGCTCTGGGTCCTTTCTACACTTGTCAGCAGCAGCAACACTGAAGGACAGACACAACACAGGAAAACTCATGCTGCTGCACAGCTGTTCTGTCCTCAGAATGGCTGCATCCTTCTCTTCCCAGTGGAGCAGTGGCTATTGCTTCAGTATCTTGGACTTAGGAGACAAATGGGGAAGTTTCCCCAAATCTGATAAAGGCAGAGAATGCCGAGTTGCACTCATCAAGCCACTAGGACAACTGTTAGTTTAGGAACATCACTCTGTCTTGGATAGACAGCAGCTGTCTATCCAAGAGTATGAAAACCAAGCATGGATGGTGTCTTTCCCAGCCTACAAGAGCTCAGGACCCTCCTTAATCATATATGCTGTCTTTGTGTTTATGAACCCATTTTGCTTTCATTAATGAGTCTGTCCATTTTTAAAATGGACAACAGGATCCAGTATCACCGATATTTCACTTCAAAGAGTTCCACTTAATTAACCATTGTGTGAAACACTCTTCAGTTTTAAATGTTTCCTCATTTAATTTGTACAAGAGTTTTATTTGAACGCTGATGTTGCTATCAGTCTAGTCCAAGAGGTGGTGGTAAAACTGCCACTCATCACAAAATGAGGGAATGGGTAAGAAGCAATGAGTAGGTGTTATTTAGGAGAAACTATGTGCACTGATTGAAAGTGAAACTGCTTATTAACAGACACAAGATATAAATCATCAACATACATATGAAACACAGATGACAAATGCTTCAGGCATTTCTTATCAGACAGCTGCTGCTTGATGTAAAGGCTCACGTGCAGTCCTTTACCAGCTTGTTGTCTGTCAAACATCCTCTGCTTCTGTCAGAATCAGTTAATTAAAATGTAGCAATAGGTTATACTGGAAAAATTCACTCCTATTTGCAAGAAGTAAATCTGCAGTGAAAGGTGTCACTATTTCATTGCAGAAGGAACAGCTTTCAAATCTAGACACCCTTGGATATTCTTACTTCTGGTTGCTGAGTTACTGTAGAGGGACAAACTATTTCCTTCAAGACTCAGTGATGGCACACTAAATAAAACAGCAGTTAGTAAAGATCAAGAAGTCAGCTACCAACCACTTCCCAAATTCTGTCATTACTGTTAAGTGTGAATTTTAAATGTGTCTACGTGCAATTCTCTTCCCAGAGAAAATTATAAGATAGATACAATAAGGAAGCCTGTTTATTTTAAAACATTAAAGTCTTATCAACATCACCTACCCTCAGCACTATGGGAAATAAAAAGGTAAGTCTACTTAAGTAAAAATGTCAAAGGAACACTACCTCCTCATAACTGCTTTGTCAGGTACATGACCCAATAGTGCCTTCTAAGACAGCTTTAACATAATGATAAACTTTAACAAAAAACAACATGGACACCATAGAATTCAAGTTAGGCAGGTTCAAAACAGAGCTTTACCCACTATTGGGGAAATTTACATATGAAAGAAAATTATATGTCTTCAGGGTTTTGTGGAGTTTCCACCAGTAATTGCTTTGGATTTAAAGAAATCTGATGATAAATTCAACTTAAGGTTAAAGAGTATTAACTTGTGTTAATCCTATAATAAAACACTACTATAATCCACAAACAGGAACAAGAATTTAAATTAGCAAGATTAAAGACTCTTCAATATCAAGCTAAAAATTTAAAATATCACAATACCTACGACTTAGTATAACCTTCTCCAAATACATCACAGAAATAGTCGCATTAGACAAAGCGCTTAGATGAAGCTACTTCTTCATCCTCTCCAGAAAACACGACAGACAATAGAGATCAATGGGATATTGATTCTTTAAAGACATTCACATGTATAGGTTTACCAGTTATGTTTTCATTCTTAACATGCCTTTTCCATGTGAGTTGAAGCTTCAGCTTCAGGATGGCCAACAGAAGTACAGTTCATAGGAGTTAAAGGATATGGTCAAAACCAATTTGTGAAGCAAGAACCTGATGAGCAAAATCTACCACTACCGTGGCATAGGAACTCCATAATTACACAGTCCAGCACAAGGTCCAGTAAGAATGTACTGGGTATGGTTTCAACTCAGAAACAAAAAAAAATAAAAACTTTTAACGTTTACATGAAGTAATAGCTTTAATACTTACATAAAACAACAGTAATAGAAGCAAGAAAACCCACTGGACAGATTTCTGCTGTACAAGCCATTTTCAAAGTTCAAAACAAGTTTAATTAAGATAAACCATGTGGAAATCTCTTACCTCTTCTCCTGAAAGATAGTAAGCTGAAAGTAGTCCACCAACAAAACGAATGTTCACTTCAAATACTGAAATTTCAGCATTCTGTTGAAATAAACAAACATAGTTTTATTCCCTGATACTTTTCTGTATGGTCTGTAACATTTTGTTTGCCTCTTTTGTCTTTTTTATATAGATGTAGGCTTAAGCTATAACAGCTGTAAACAGCAAAACATAAGATATAGGGAAAGACAACATAAGTTAATTTAAGGGCATTTTAAAGTATTTTCTTTTCTTCCTCGTGTTAACAAAATAACCTCTCCATTGTCTTCATCCTGTTTAACTTTCAATCTCTTCCACTTGGGCTTTCTCTAAATCCACACATCCACAGCACTTCCCTGTAGATGACTCAGCACTCAAAAACACGAAGTGGTCTAAGGTCATATGTCCCACACTACCTCACACCACACGCCATCTCTTCTCAGACACTGTAGGAGTTCTTGATCAGAATGTTGTATCAAGAGCTTTCCTCCTTCAGTGTAAATGCAGGTTATTGTAAAATGAGAGGTAACGCTAGAATGAGTCAGTTACACGTTCATGACAAAAATGTAATCATGATGTGTATTCACTAGGGAGCAGATGATCTTTCAGTACTGCAGTGACATCCTTTCCCGTACTGGCCTAGTCTTTACCGATGACAGACACTAGGTTTGTTGTACCGAGCAGTGCAGATCGAGGCACTATCTATCTCAAAACACAGACACTTGTGTTTCCTGTGAGGACTGAATTAAACTGCTTTTTTGATTTTCAATTGCTCAAAGTAAGTTGAGTGATATATGAGCTGAATATTTTGTCTCCAAACCTTACATTTTGCCTTTCCGGATTAATATGACTACTTAACTCACAAACCAGTCCTATCTGTCAAGGAATACGAAGGCCTTTTAAGAAAAGCTCAGTATGTATGCACCGTCACCTGCTTCTGAAAATCAAATATGGACAAAAAGAAGACTTTGAGGTAATGTGAAGATTTTACTGTTGAATCACAAAGATTAATGGCACTGTAATCCTGAACATTTGCTGAAGTGGTGGTCTTTTGGGACATTTCTTGAAGATGATCATTGCTTTAATGTTATCAGATTTCCAATACTTCACTTGCACACATCTCTAAACCTTTGGTCAAAATCCTCATCTCATTCTGAACTCCTCATACAAGCCGCTGAAGCAGATGCAATTAATGAAATAGACATTTCATTAATGGTACATTTGAAAGCTATATGCTACATAGTTATACTTAAGCTCATTATTTTAGGCTAGTAGTATTCTCAGAAAGCATAGGAATTATAGCTATTTGCAAAACAGTTAAAGAAGTTAAAACAGTTAAGGAAGTTTTATAGTTTCATGTCAAAGAGACATTCACCTCTACATGGAAGTCGTGAAGAAGTGATACGGTAGGAAAAGTGAACTGTTCCTAGAAGTAGCTGATTTCTGCTACACCAACTTAACCCTTCTTTCTGGCTCGATTTTTAATAATTTTTTGTATTATGCATTTAAGACACCACACCTTGATCATTACCCTCTTTTCATATTTTTAATCAGCAACCACACACAGTTTGCACAAAGAAGTCTGTATATTTCTACTCAGCAGTCAAATCCTAAGTAAGCAATGTTATTTTTTATTTTGCCCTCAGATCCAGCTGCACACAAGTAAGTCTCTATGCTAAAATGACAAAACAGTTGAGTGTTACCCCATTTTGACTTGACAAGGAGAAATATTAAAATGAGGGGGTTTTAACCAAGAGAAGAACCATAGCTTAGAAACACTCAAGAAGTTGCAGTTTAACTAGTAAAGCTATCAAACTAACTCCTTTTAAAAAAAGAGTAGTTGTCTGTACCTTAGGAAGACCCATCTTCAAAAAGCAACAGATATTACCAAACGCAGAATAGCAGAAGTTCCAAGAGATAGTTCACGTTACTCTGCTTCTGCATTTCATTTGCAAACCTATGACAGGTCAATCTAATATCAGCTGCATCTCACCCTTCCATAAACCATAAGATTCAGTCTATAACTGGTAAGCTACTGAAGCTTCAAACAGCTGTGGCTGAACTTAATGTTGAAAGCACTGTTCAGACAACAAAACTACTGTCAGATGGGCTCTTCTGAAGCCCTTCTCCTTATGGATGCCTTTAGCTTTCAAAAAAATCAGATCAGTATTCACATCCTTCTGGACAATTTCCTTAACACATCTCTTTCCTGAAAGTCTTCTTCTCCACAGATTTGTAGATCAAGGCCAAAATAATTTGTCTATGTTTTCTCATGGGAAGTCACCCTCATTTACAAGTCCAGCATTTGAAATACAACTCAATTGCATTTATCTAGTATCAGCTTTCACCTGGCACTCATCAAGCACCGGTACCTGCTCTGCCATTTGTGATTCAGTTGGAGAAAATACTGTGTGCTTTTTATGTGAATGAATATGTTCACAGCAATCAACTCAACTTAATTTATATTTGATAAACAGCTTACTCTGTTAGTTTTTATAAAGACCCAAATAAGGCCACAAATCCCACCAAATTATGTTTCAGTCTTCTTTATTACAGATTCTTTATATTTTTTTTTTCCTTCAGATCTGTAACAGAAAGTACTGTGCCACTATAAACAGCCCATATCCTGCAGGTTAATAAACTGTGCAAGAAAACACCAGGGACCCTACACTGAACAATGCTAAATAATGTATATAATTTTAGAGTAAAAAATGGACACAAAGGGCCTGCATTTCAAGTGAGAGAGATACATAATTATTATTATATAATAATATTAATAATGTTAAACATATTATTGAACATAATAATGATTAAATATATATAATAGTTTATAGATAAATTAACATAATAAAACATAATACAACATAATTAATATTAAATAATAATATTTCCCTGTTGAAGCAAAAAGGCTGGAAACAACAACAAATCTTAGCATTTTCAAGCAGTCCAGGAAATATGACAGAGACACGAAGATCACTAGGATAGATCACTTAAAGCTACTGCATTTCAATTACTTGCAACTGTGGGGAAACAAAGTTTCGTTCATATTCCACAAATTAAGTGTCATTTAGTGGTAGCTTGCTAAAATACTCAGTTCCTCTAGCCAAGGGGAGCAGTTTTAGCCACCATTTTATTGCAAGTGTCACTTTGAAGTCTGACATTTTCAAGGCCAGGTTGGAGGAAGTCTTGGGTGAGATGGTTTAGTGTGAGGTGTCCCTGCCCATGGCAGGGGGGTTGGAACTAGATGATCTTAAGGTCCTTTCCAACCTTAACTATTCTATGTTTCTATGATTCTATTTTGAGTGTAATAAAACAAGTTATCTAGCAAACTAGTAAATAAGCAGTTCTATAAGCTGAAGAACCATTTTCAGCTTCTGGCTTCCTTAATCTTCCTCACAGACCCATTAAACATTTATTTGAAGTCTATTTACTCATACATCCCACACTTTTTTTTTGTTGTTGTTTTAGCGGTTTGTTTGGTTTTTGTTTGTTTGGTTTTTTTTAAACAGGAAAGCTCTTCTGTTGCAAATTGTTGCATAAGGAAACTTTCTGATTTTCTCACAAAGAGAAAAAGCACCAAAAATAAAGCACGAGAAAAACATCTTCCTCCAAGCCAGAACATTAGGTTATGGGCTGTTAAATATAATTACAAGTCAATCATAACACCTATAGTTTGAGATTAGTATGATTTAAATCCTCAAATTCTGAAGTTTGAAATAAACAATCTGAATTCTAAAAGTTCTATCTTGTTACTGACTACCTAAGCACAGATAGAGTTGAAGCAAAGATATATGCCGGAAGCATTAATTATTACATTCAAATACTATTTGCTATTCTGGGATCTTGGAAAAAGGATATGTTAATCTATACATGGCAGCAGAAATAAACATAATTCCAAGTTTCTATGCTTTTCCAACTCTTTTTTCATTCCCAAAATAGAAGACATTCTACACATTAAACTACATTGCATGAAACTGCACACAAAGCTTCTTTAGGAGACACTCAAATTTGCAAAGCTAAGAACAAAGATGAATATCAGAACTGGTAAGCAAGCCTTCAAGCTTCAGGGTTGATTATAAAATTATACACAGTAACTGACTGGTCTCTGAAAACAGATTTGCTTAAGAGTGCTGGCAGGACACAAGAATGAAAGTAGCCTTGCTGTCTTACTCATTCCCTTCTCTTTATGCAGTTCCTCAATTAATTTACTACCTGTCTTTGAGAGCAAATAATGAGCTGCTCTTTATACTCTTCCACAGCACAAGAGCAGCTCTTTCCTAGACTGATCCACCCTGTGCAGTTAACAAGGGAAGTTATCTGTGATGAGACAGACAACGCACCATGAGTCAATGCTCTCACAAAATGTCAACTGAAGTCAACCAAATTATATCCACATAGATAGAGCTATTGAACAAATGTTCTGCCACTTGTGTCTGACTAAGCAATCATAACTTCCTGCCATCCTTCATTTTGATATAAAATAGAGAGTGATGAGGCAAACAAATCCACTAGTAATCAACAGGAAGATTATTTTTGTCTGAATACGGATTCACCTTGAGGTATCTTAAAATAAACAATTTTCCTCTTCTCCCAATAAATGCATGGCTTCCCGCTCCATACCTCGTTCCCATTCTGGTTCTACCTGACTACACCCACATCAGACAGCTTATCAGTGGGTTAGAGAATGAATTCAAGCACCATCTCACATATCATTAAATTGTTAGCACACTCTGGTCTGGTTTGCATCCTTCTTGTTCCAGCCAATGTTCAGGCATGCTTTAGGATGCCACATAGGCCAAGGATTATTCACAGTATGCTGTATGGGCAAGACTCTCCTTTTGAGGGGAAGGAGCTTGGCAGGGCTGAGTAAGATGAGGACAGATCCATCAGTGTTATCCTAAAGATGTTGGGGCCTGTCTGGGTGTAGATGTGAAGAACAATCAATTCCAGCACTTAATAAATGACAACCCTACTGCTTTGCCCCACAGCTCAGCTCCTGCACTACTGCTCCTCAACTCCTGATCCCTTCATCCATTTCATTAAAATCCCTCTTTCAGTTTCTCTTACTGAGTATGAATTCAGTGTGGTTCACCCCTTGCATTGCAGGGCCCAATACCTTTTTCCTCCCCAGTGTGATGCTAAAGTTGGGTGTTGGTACAGAAGCCCTTTCAGAAAGCTATGAATGCTCTGTGTGTGTGCAGGTTCTAAAGCAAATAATGAAAAAATAAAACCAGAGCAACACTCAGATGTGCGTAGTTGTAGCTAGGAAACAGCCAAGATCCCTAGTGATCCCATGAAAGACTGGCTCCTTTTTTCCTCTGCTGCAACGTACGGATATAGAACCCAGCCCAGTGCAGCTTTACGCAGGGCCATGCAGGAGCACTGTGCAAAGGTTGTGTGGGCAGCAGCATGTTCGGGGAAGTCAGCCCAAATTGTCAGCTATATTAACTGAAGAGCAAAGACACACCCCCCACAGGGATGAAGTGATTTAATGGAAAACAGGTCACACATCCATGATACAAAGACCATGGATTTAGCCAATGCAAATGTCAACTCTTTCAAAAGGTATGAGTGTTTCTAAATCTCTTACAGTATTGACAGAATCAGAAAATGGAACTTAATTCCTGAAAGATTACACAGTTTGGCTGAAACGACAGCAATGTATCAAATACAAGGAATTTCAGCAGTTATGTTTTACTTTGGAAAAAATAGTTTAGTTTGGAAAAAATTAGTTTTAGCTGTTTTAGTTGGAAAAAATTCCAAGCATTCCAGTGTGGATATCCCAGTTATAAAACCACAGGGCTACCAGCTCCAGCTATAATAAAGTGTAATATACTTCAGTGTAATATACTTCAAAAGGTGAAGTTTCCAAACAAGTCCACTCACAAGATTATAAAGATTCACAAATTTGCCGAGAAAGGTAGTGTTTACTTACTTTTCTAGAATTTTCCTTCAAAATCAGAACAGTCTGCTTGTTTTAGAAAGGTAAAAAAGAGTAGCCCTGACAACTAATTCACTGAATTGGGGGATTAAAATCTTAACATGTGAAGAGATTACGGAATTTCCCATTAAGTCACCTTTATTCCATAAATCCTTTTATACGGCTAAACTAGTGCTTACTTTACAAAGTGACATTTAGAAACTTTCATGATTGGGTGATGGGAATGATCAAGTGCTGGCCAAATGGTTCAACATGTACAATGAGTATCTGACCTATTACAAACTTCTAGAGGACAACTTGCTTTACCCAGCTACACTGGTGTAGAATATAAAAAGAAAAGATTCTGATACATAATACAGTCACATCTATTTTTTGTAAAGAACAGCTTAAAGAAAATTTATTATTTAAAAAGCATAGTTTTAAGATAAAATGGAAATAATCCTATGTACAAAAATAAAGGGCAAGCACGCTTGCTCAGAAGCTGATTAAGCAGTCACTCCCCAGGAAATGACCAAAAACGTCAAAGAGAAGCATGTTTTATACTACTCGCAAGAAATAACACTTAAGGCCACGTCAGTCTGTCAGCTTCTAAAACCTAATTCACTTTCATGGAGGAAAAATTTCTAAAACAGGAACAAGTAAGACTGTATGAAACATTAATACATAAAATGTCAAGTAATGCCTGATAAATGCGTAAACACAAACAAGTGGACCCTGTTGTCCTTTGTGTTAAGTAATTTCAAACTTAAAGCTATAAAATACATATAAAAAGCAGCATTTGAAACTGGAACTCATATTTTAAGGGGGAAAACCAAAAAAGAGTTTAGTTGAACAGCTTCAAACAATTCAGCCACTAAACAAACTGACATCAATTATTAAAGTTGGTGTTAAGGTTATTTATTTTCATTTCCTCACTTTGCTTTAGGAAAATTCATCTACTCATTAGTGATAACAATGTAATATTCTATACGATTATAAAGTATTATGAAAATAATTTTGTGAAGTGTTGAACTCAAGGCAGCTTTTTACAGGAATACCAGGAGGAAGGTATTACTCCTTAAGCACACCTATGTAAAAGTAGTTTTAGTAGACCTGCTGGATTGCTACACTCACCGACTAACAACACAGATTTTCAGACACTTTGAAAGACTTCACAGCTTTTAAGCATTACTGAGAAAAATAAGTGCCATATAATTTTTAAAAGTACCTAAATTAATAAGAGGAGCTAACATTGTAGACAATACCTAGAAGTTACCAGTGCAAAGCACAGCAAGATTTACGTAAGCCCAAAGATTTTAGTGTTATTCATCTAAATCACTCTACTGCATTTTATAATGTTCCTCCAAGTGGAGCTCAGCTCTTCGTTAAAGTGGAGTTTGCTATTTTCTATTGTGTTTTGTTCTTACATTTTGAAACACATTAATAATACTAAGCTGATAAGACAGGAATTTAATATTAAAAAGATTCCTTTAGGAAAAAAATAATCCACCTTATGCACAAGATAAAGTTAGCATGTATACCTGACACTACTTGGAAGCACACTTTAACATCCTGTATTTACATTATTAACACACTAAATTGCTGCTTATATAAACTATAATACCCACTCTTATTAACTCCTCCTTCTTAAAATGGTAATTAATTCTCAAGCATGTAAAAGAAGCTAATTAGTCCTGACTTTTTCTGCATAACATATTAGAAGGAGTACTTTGTTTTCAGAAGGTGTTTCTGCCATTATGCATGTCAACTACAAGAGCTTTTAAGTGCTCGGTATACTGTGCCTACAACCCTTTCCTACTTCACTATACCTGTCAGTAAACGTATTCCACTAGCTCTCTGTATTGAGGAATTCCAATAATTACTCTAGCCTACAAATTAAAAACAATTCACCAGTTTAATCAAAGTTTTACAGAGGTTCTGGCTTGCTCAGAGCCTTTCTAGGACAAAACTTTAATAATGAACTTTGCTCTCAGATGCATATTTACCAGTTAAGAGAATGATTTGTAGATGACAGTCGGTGTCTCATAAGACTAACGCAGCTCAGTTTGTGCCAACAGTTCAGCCTAACTCTTGGGGTTCAGCTTTACTAGAATACACAACTTAAATGGTATGCATGGTGTGTAGCTTTCTCTAAATGCAAGTCTAATTTGTAGAAGGTTTCACAAAGCGAAAATGTAAAGCGTTTACATAACTAAAAAATTAATGCTTGAAGTGTCCTGATTCTTCTATTCAAAAGAACTGAAAAGCTTCTTTACAATGGTAAATACTCTATTTCTTTTTCTTTCCTTTAGTTCAGGTCATTGCCTCCTATCTATCTAAATTTCTCATACTGGAAAACTGCATGTAGAAGCAGAGTAGTAACTTTATCATATTTCTGCTTCCTGCCTCGTTTTATCTATCAGTGATCTAAATTCTGTAGCCTAGTATCATGCTTGCAATATTAGTACACAGTCCTCAACTGACCCGTGGAGATTAAACAGAGCATTAAATGTTAATCAGCAGCACTACTTACCACATTGAAATCTAAGTTTTTTTCAACCCATTCCTTGGCTTCCTTGAATTCTTCTTTCATTTCCATTATATATAGTGTATCAAGGGCATCCACTATTGTTGCTCCTTGAATGTTACCTGAAATACATGAAAAATCAGAGATTTACTTTCCAACAGAAGGCTTTTCAGTTAGAACTAATTAATTTAATTAATTCTAATTTCAGAATCTAATTTCGTTTAATCCAATTAAAAATTGGGTATATAAACATTCAAGTGGGCAACTAGTCATTCACAGCCTTAACTTTGATTACCATGCCACAACACAACATCCCAATACACTTCTTTTTAGCAGCTGCTAATTGCTTATAAAATCCTTTCTCTGAATGAAGTAATCTGTATGTTTTTCCCCAGATATTCCACTAATAAAACTGCAGCATACTTTGATAAGAAGGATACCATATCTTTCCAGAGCCAAGCTCTTCTCTCATGTTAAAGGAAGAACTTTCCCTTAAGCTTGGCAAAGTAACTTGTATTTTTCCTGAGCTCATAAGAAAGTGAGAGCAATGGTGGAAAACTGCTGAAGGATATATGCTCAAGAGCAGTACTACAAAGGCTTTCGAGATGTTAGTAACTCCATGCAAGAAAAGCTTGTACTTGAAATTCTTAAAACATAAGCCTGAAGTGAGTAATTTTGATAAGAGAGATAGATAAATGTACAAGCCCACCAAAGTGAAACATTATTAGTCCGTACCAAAACCTTCAGACCAAGAACTTAGATATGTTCAATTTTACTTCCTTTGTTAAACCTGCTTCTGTTTTTCTCTCTCTCCTTTACTAACAGCACCATTTATTCCACGTGAGTGATTCATGTAGAATATGTAAAATTGCCCACAAGCTAGTTAACTGAAGAGAAAGCAAAAGAAATCAGTCAGCATAAAACTTCAAGTGGACTATCAAGCAGCATCTACAGAGCATCCTTTCCCATTTAACACTTGAAATCTTCAGCAATGATCTGGAGGAAAAGAAAATAAATAAACAAAAAACCCAAAAGAACAAAAGAACCTACTGCTAAAATGATTTGGGGATGATTAACTAAGATGACTGACGTTTCAGAATAGCATGATACAAAGCACAGAGCATTCTAGATCACTTCTGGATAATGCAGAGTGGGACCATTTAAACAGCATGCTTTTTAATATCTAAAAATACAAAGGTATGTGTACAGAAATAAGAGGAGATTACATTACAGAATGGAGTAGTGCTTCAGGGCAGGCGGGAAGAGCAGAATGAAAAACAAAAGTGATCAGAGGATGGGTAACTTTGTATGTGTTTCCACAGTGTCACTGCAGGGAGAACTGCTGTGGATGACAAGCTTATTAGCACAGCTCTGTGACTGAGCATATGTGGCCATATGGTTTAAGAACCACAACTGGCTTATGGCCAAAATATCTGGAGGATGGGCCAAAAAAAGCTTTTGTCTAGCCCGGGTTTTTAGACATGGCTTCTTGGTTGATGAGAAGCTCAACATGAGACAGCAGTGTGTGCTTGCGGCTTAGAAAGCCAACTATGCGAGGCTGCAGCAAAACTAGTGTAACCAGCAGGTAGAGGCTGGTGATCCTGCTCCTCTGCTCTGCTCTAGTGAGACCTCAGCTCTGGGAATCCCAACACAAGAGAGACATGGACCTGCTAGAGTGAGTCCAGAGGAAGGCACAGAGACAATCAAAGGGCTAGAACATCTCTCCCATGGAGACAAGCTGAGAGAGTTGGGCTTGTTCAGCCTGGAGAAGAGAAAGCTTGGGGGAGACCTTAAAGCAGCTTCCAGTGCCTAAAGGGGGCTTCCCAGAAATCTGCAGAGAGACTTTTTATAAGAGCATGGAGGAACAGAACAAGGGGGAATGGCTTTAATCTGACAGAGGGTAGGTTTAGGTTAGATACTAGGAAGATATTAGAATACTAGATATTAGGATATTAGACATTAGGATACTCTTTACTGTGAGGGTGGTGAGACACTGGAAAAGGTTGCCCAGAGAAGCTGTGGGTGCCCCATCCCTGGCAGTGTTTTAGGCCAGGTTGGAAAGGGCTTTGAGGAGGTGTCCCTGCCTGTGGCAGAAGGTTTGGAACAAGATGACCTTTGAGGTCCCTTCCAACTGAAACCATTCTATGATTCTATGATATTTTGGCCAAAAGATTCTGTAATAGAATACTGCCAGGATGCCAGAGTGAGTGCATGTTGGTACCGTTTATAGTTTGTTTACTATTTTGTTCCCATCCCTTGTTTACCAAGTGTGGGGCTTGGTTCTCCAGAATATCCATATTCCCCTCCATCAAATATAATATATATACACACAGACGTAATAGGGATGCATGTATGTGAAACAGACGAAGATTTGTGGACTACAAGCATTTCATAAAGAACAGTACATGGAGGAAAGTTTCAGACGTGTCCCTGTGCACTGTCTATAACTGGATGGAAGGCAGGCCCTTTACTCTCCTCGAATTCAAATTCTTTTCTTTTTCTGACTCTGTGTCATATTCTGATGGAAGGAAACTGTGGCAACATGTACAGCAAAACTGGAAGATAAGGAAAGATGAACTATGAAGTGGCCTCAGGTCATACAATACATTAGCTCCCTCACCTATGATAGCTCACCATCCAACAAGTGTAATAAACTAGGATTTCTTGTTCTTGCATGACTGCACAAGCTGAATAGAATACTGGGTTTTCTTCCAGAAAATGTTACATTTCTGTGTTTCTGATACGTTAGTTAATGAAAGTTAATAAAGGACATCTGTATTTGTAATTTCTTTACTGTGATAAAAATTCAGCACATACAAATAATAACAGATATTCCTTAAATTAAAGTGAAAATGTTAAAAAAATTATTTCCTCTATTATTGTCAGAAGAACTACTCTTTAGGGTTACTTTTTATACATAGCTGTATTTCAATTGCACTCAGTATCACCCTGATGATCTTAGGTTCGTCACTGTTTTCAGCCAGTGAGGCAAAACTATTTTGTCATCTTCCAGTTATTGTAAGTTGAGGAAGCTCAGTCAAAGCACATGTATTCTATAGAATCTTCCTCCAGTTTATAGTTTCAGACTCAAGATTCCAGCCAAAAATACAGAAACATAAACTGTCACGATGTTTTCTTAATCTGTCCATTAAGAACAATTCGGATTTTCTTAACATGGGGAGTATGAACAGACACTTTGTAACATTAAATATGCAACTATAAGAAACTATAAATATGCAACTATAAGAAATCAGTTTTCCTCAACTGTATATACATTGGACGTGAACAACTGAACTATGTTATTCTCAGTATATTCAAGGACACATACAGGTTTGACAAAGGTAACATATTTATTTGAACTGTAGTTTTCTTACAGCACTGTTTCAAAAGCTGATTAAGATTGCAAAACAATGTTTTCCTTTATCTGAAGTTCACTGAAAAGTCTCTTATCCAATATCATTAGCAATTTAAAGCGTCAGGAGTGATTAATTATTAAAGTATGCTATTCCAAAACATGGAAACCTTACTTAAGTACTGGCAAACCCTCAGAAACCCTAACATATTTAATTTCAGTCACTGTTACCAGCTGGTAAGAGTGGGAGAAGACAATTTCAATGTTTTTAAAGATCTAGCTTTTCATATGTGTAATATGAAACAATGTTGTGGGATTTCTAGAATCCTTCCCTAATCTTTATTCTTATATTGTTTATATTATATATGTTTTAGTGTATTTTATATATTATTGTTATTTACGTATTTAACATATTATAGATAACTATGCTCCTGCACAGAGAAAGGAGTTGGACTTGATGATCCTTATGGGTCCCTTCCAACTCAAGATATTTTCTGATTCTATGATTCTGTACATCTGTGCATTTTGGAGCCAGCTCTGGTGCCTGCATTTAATGGAGCTCGATGAAATTTTCCTCCATTGCTTCTGGCACCCACACAGTTTATCTACATGTTTCATTACAAGCTACATTATTTTGTTTTTTTGAACATGCTGCCTACTGTTTTGGTATTTCCACCCCTTACAAAGGGTATAGTTCCTGACAAGGAACAATAAATCCTAGCTCATTCCACCTATGCAACTCTTTATGGGTTTTCAACCTTTGCTACTTTTTTTGAGTTCAAGTCTGCCCAGTTCTGTGCTTTAACTTAGAATTGTATCTCCTGTGCCATTATGTGCCAGTTTAAATTTAGGTATTTTAGGACCTCATTTGCTATTTCAAAGTGCAATTATCATCTGGTGGGGAATCCTTCTGGGTTCATGAAACTGCTTGCAGTTTGACATTGTCGTAGCTACCTCAAGTAACTTGTTAGTGCTGCCAAACTGTCAGTCACTCTGGTCACTTGATTTTCCAGAACTGTGATAAGCAATTTGAGAGCATGGCCTCAGCAGCAAAGAATCGCTCCACAAGACAAGTAATAACCCTGGAAAATGCTTTTTGGAAGTCTGAAAAGGCAATCAACTCGTCTTCCTACCGAACAGCTTCTTTGAAAAAAAAAAAAGTAGTTGTGTAGCTTGACCTTGTCTCACAAACGCTATGTTGAATCATTCATCCACATATCTGTGAATGTTATTCTTTAGACAAGTTACTATTTAGTTGGGAAGGATGTCGGGCTTACTTCCAAAGTTAAGACCACATACCAAAATCTAAATTTTGAAGGAATGCAGCAGCAAAAGTGAAGAAAAACAAGATAGTGGGGACTGGGGAGACAGGTTGAAGCTTTTCAATTTAAAGCAACATACCGTTTAAATACACATACAAGTAATTTTCTAGAGCTATATTAATAATCTTACAGTTTAAAAATATTTTTGTACATTGCAAGATAGTTTTGAATATGAATTTTGGCATGCTTTAAAAATCTTCATACACCTCAATTCTCCATACAAGAAAGTATGAAAATCCATTCGAAGTGGGAGGAATGGGATCTTGCTAAATTATAGTGCTTTTCCTTTGCAGATTTGAGTATTTATTAAATGCCTCCCTTTTCCCCTCCAGAAAAGCTCCTTTTTTTTCCACTTGCAGAGACTAATTATACTATGCCCACGAGTTACAATATTATTAAACTGGCAACACTGCACATGAAAGACAGTTGCAGGTAATTAAAAAAGCCCTTTAGTAACACTCACTGAAGTGCAGAAAACACTTCTAGAAAGAGCTCTCAGCTAGTATGGCAATGCTCATTAGTTTTAAAATAAGTACAGAAGGCTTGAAGAGGAATAGCTTCTGGGTTGGGGGGCTGGTAGCAGGGTGCTGTGAAAAAAAACGACAAAACTGGGGTTTTGCCACTTCCACACTACTAGGGTAGGTGGATAAAGCTCTATTTTAGCTTTATCATTAACAGTAATCTGAAACTTTAAAGGTTGAAGTATTAAAACTTAACAGCACTTACTTGGGGCCTACTTTTACCAGGTATGGGAAAAGGATTAGTACTCAGAGCAGAAGTCACATCAGCATAGGAGTATGCCTTGTTTTGCTGATGCACAGATATGATGCAAACAGACATTTAGCTGTAAGAATTTACTTGATTACTCTAGAAATAACTGTACACTTAATGAAATTAAGCTATTAAGAATGCTATGCAGACAACAACTGATGACTTCTCACTTCGCCTTTTCAAATAGATGTTATTGTCACTAAATTCTTTGTAGTTGGAGTAAACTATAAAAAAATCCACAATAATGTTTATTACTTGCCAAGACAACATGGTAAAAGCTAAAGTGGCAAATAAAAAGGGAATCAAAACATTATATGGCTGTGTTGAAACAACTTTGCAATGGTCAGAGGCAAGTATGTAGCTTTGGCTTGAAATGGAAATATTTCAGTTTACATATGTTTATCCTTTCTCTAAAGTTAATTATTTTTAGTGTGCACTTGTGAGAAAAAGCAACTTCTGCTCATAACAAGCCTAAAGAATACCTCAGTTTATCAAACACACTCTTCACACATATTGCTCACAGAATGCCAGCAAGATCAAAGCAGTCCTTGTCTTCAAAAGCTGCTTTCAGGGCCTGGGTTTAGGACAAATAAAATGTCATTTCAAAGTTCGGCATGAAATCCTCAGCTATAGAAAAGCTCTACTATATTTAATTTGTATGAAGTGATAAGGATGCTTTTTCTTCCCCCAAGGTCAGAACCACCAGTTGTCATTACCCTTTCTTCCATCATCATCCCACTGAATTACTCTTCCCTTAGCTTAACAATAGTGTCACCATAATTGCCAAATTCATGATGGTATTAGCTAAGTCACACCTATGTGTAATTACACGTCTTAAAAGCCCATTATATTTTTGTGTTTCAGAGAAACACATCATGCCTGCAAGATACACCCATCATAATGTATCTACATTATAGCAAGGACTAAAGAACTTGTACTTTCGAAATTAAGCTTAGAAACCGTATCATTTGAAAACAACTCTCCCCTCCTGTGTCAGGAGAGCCATACTGTCTGTAACCTACACAACATCAAGCATCAGTGAGCTACATCAGAACCTGCAGTTCCCCACAGTGAGGTACTTAAAGTCTTTATCCCATAACAGACTTTACCAACATATGCAAAGTACTATAACTGCACCAATTAATTCATAGGAGGGGAAGTGTTCACAGTTAAACAGCTGGCTAATGAAATATGCTATATATTACTTCTATTAAGACAATTAGAAACCTGTACTTCAGAAAATTGAGACCTGAAATCAAGAAGAAAGATGACCATGAAAAATTTGAGATGGTTATGATGGGTAACAGTAAGCTGAAGGGTCTGGCTTAATTTCTGAAGGTTGTAAGTTGATTAATGGGACACTGAGCTGGAGGTAACCTATTCTCAGCTAATTCAATTCAGAACTACCTTAGAAGTAAGTCAACAGTTTGCAATCCATTAAAAAAACCAAACAAATCCAACCAAAAAAAAAAAAAAACCAAACCACTGTCGTTTCAGAGAAAAAGGGGTTCAACTATTCGACAAAAAAAAAAAAAGAAAAAAAAAGGCAAGCAAGCAAAACCATAACATGAAGGTACAGATCAGATCTAATGATCTGAGGACACTATTACAGAAACAAGGATTTGTTTCTAAAAAACAAAAGGAGATTATGGATTCAGGAAGCAGTAGCTTATGAGACAGAACTGCTTGCAGATACGTTGTTCTTTAGTATTCAGTAAAGCAATTCAGCAGAAGGAGACCTAATGCTTATTTTGATTTGCCACCAAGATCAATAAGAGTGAAGATGTTTCTAAGGAAATCTCCTCAGCAGTAAGATCTTATGCTAGATAAGCACGACGAGAAAGTGATCTGCATTTAGACTGACTCTGGCTCTTACTCCTTTAAATGCAGTTTTATTTTCAAATTCAACACTTGTCCTGTTTCATGCAGTGACTTATTCTTATGCAACACCCACAGAACTACATAAGAATTTCAGAAATCAATACATTAGCTTTTTCTGCTAATCCATGCAATATCATTAAAAACTCAAACCTTTAATATTTTATACAACTTCTCACTCAAAATGAAACTACATTAAGAACTTGAGACATTTTGTTGTCCTCCAAGAAAACAGGGTTGCATTAAATATTTCTTCAGATATTACCCTGATTTGCAGAACTACAGTCACCTGAATGCAGATAATAAAAACCTTCAGTTTTCAAGAAAACAGAAGAAAACAAGAATAGGACTTAACCCTGAAGTTCCCTCAGACTACTTTGTTTTCAAGCACCCGATTCACATTTAAGCTCAGTAACAAACTACATAATAATTACCTAGTAACACTCTTGGTGTTACCTTGGGCAGACAACCAGTGCAGCAAGACCAATGTAGAAGTATTTTCAAAATTATTTTTGTAATCACAATTGCTGTCTCTTAGCAACTTCCAAATATAGTTGAGGATTTGATAAGTGCTCTATTTAGGGTGTTTTAAGAAATGCTTCCACTTCAAACTATCTTTTCCAAACATTCAACAAAATAAGTTCCTGCTAAAATCAAAATAGTGTATTGATTTTGTCTCAGCTCTAGAAATTAGTTCATTTTTCAGTTTTCTGTTTGGAAAACGAGCTATTTGAATACAAAAATTGCTGTCAAACAGTTTAATTCATCATTTTTTCTGCAAAGTTTAAGATGATGACAGTTCATAGAACTGCTTCCTCATGCTTTCTCAGAATGCCGTTGCTCTACAGCTGCTATTTATGTCCCACTTGGACACCGAAAAAGTCTTGCCTCATTACACTGGATTTCTGCAGTGTGCCTCACCTCCTAGAACTTTTTAGCCCCATATTTGTTCTACATCAGTAACAACTTGGGCCTTATTTAAGCATCTCCTGTGCAACATTTAGAGATGCAAATAATGGTTATATTCATGAAAGAGAAAGCCTGATAAGGGAGCCTGACTGATACAGATTAGCAAGGTTTTTTTAAGGAAAGGACTGTAGACAGCTTCAGCTACCTTTATGACTGCAGAAAGCATCTTTTGTTCCTTGTACCAGATTTATTTCCCCTGCCCCCATACATCCACCTACCCCCATACACCCACCTACCTCATTCCCCCACCCCAGTTTTTGTTTCCTGCTTATTAAATGTGGTGTCAATGTGTTCCACTTCATAGGAAAAATTTGAGGTAGGGCACTATTTAATGCAACAAAACTACTTCTTTATCATGCAGCAAGGACATGCTTCATTTATTCTCACTCAGAAGGGAATCTATAAACGTCATAGAAAGCATCACCTTCATTTACTGGTACTTTTTATACCTAACAGAAGCAAGAAACACCTCACTGCATGACAGAGGGCAGAAAGAACACATTTATTACCTGTAAGCTTTTCAGCTGATTTACTGTTTTATGCTAACATCACTAAGCACAAAAATACACTCTACTCACCAAATAAATTGCTTGAATGTCCTTGCTTAGATATGGGTTTCAATTCATTTAATCCCCATGCATAACGCTTATAATTATCCCAGGCATGCTTCATCATCTGTAGGGAAACGAAAGCAGGATTATAATGTTGATTTAGCAAGAAGCCACAGCAAATACTGACTTGAGAATATTCTTAGTATTAAACACATTTAATTCAATGCCTAATTAAATTCATGATGTATGCATTAGAACTATGAAACAGTGAAATAGAAATACAGACCAACAGTGGTACTTCCTCCAGGTGGCAGGGGTTACAGTAAGAACTCCATGTCTGTCCCATACACCTGTACCTTTACCTGCATGCTTATGGTCAACTTGCACTCAAATAATTAATTTTAGGACTTATTGTGCTAGATATCAGTTCAAATAAGGTTTTATTTCTTTTAAGCATACACCTCTGAAACTGAGGGAAGTAACATTTTTAAAGAGTATTTTTTTCTCCTAGAGCTGGAATTCTTTGAAGTAAAAATTAAGCTCACAGTAGTTTTCAGATTCTGGCAGACACTTTCCTGCATAAATCTAGGTGCTTCAAACTCAGTATGGCTAATAACAGAAGGAGGAAGCTGGAGTGAGCAGGCAGAACACCTAAGAATGGTTTTGAGGTTATTATGACATGATCTTCTATGACTGTAAATTCTACTGTGTGTACCTGTAGCTCCTTTCACATGTAATTTTGGACAAATAGCCACAAACTTTTACAACTAAACCTACTATTACAAAACCATGTTTTGCATAAAGAGGGGCACCACAAGTAAATACTGCTTCAGGAAACTGGCTCAGGGAACATAGCATAGCAGCTCTGCGGTACGTGCAGAGGACATCCATGTCAGAAGACAAGGCAGCAGGCTTACTCAAGGAAACCTCATGTTCTCTACCACCACGACCAGCCAGACCTAGCCCAAGCTGTTCTTTCTGAGGGTGGTCCAGGTGCATGGCCAGGAGCTAAGCTGTCCCTCCTCAATCATGCAGCAAGGGCAGTGCACACAGCTCTGCAAGCCTGATGAATAACCACTGCCACTCCAGCAGGTCCAACACCTGCCTTTACTGACCACCACCTTTAATGCCTGCTCCGGAAGAATCTTCCTTAAGGATCCTCACAAGCAGTCTGACTTTATATAACAGAAGGAGATTTTTGCCTAAGTGTTGTCTCTCCTCCCCCTCTTCCACAAAGCAGAGCAGCCCTGGGAACGCCAAAGGTCATCTTCTAGAGGAAAAGTGACAATTTCAGACCTTTTCAAAAGATACTGCTTCAGGCTGTCAGCTGACAACACTGCTCTTCCCTCTTGCTTTCAGACCTCTTCTTGAGGCCATGTGTGTCAAGGATAATTCTGTTAAATAACAGTTATAATCCTAAATTGAAAGCAACAGCCTTGGGACACACTGATAATAGCAAGCCTGCACTTCCTTCCTTCCCCTTTCCTTTTCTCAAATCACATAGAGAAACTGTGTCAATTTAAAATCTGTATTAAGCCAGACTATGATAAATAACATATTTTTCTGGAGTACTGCTACATTAGTGAGACTAAACATTTCTTTGTTATTTATGGAAGAAAAGATATGCACCCAAAATGCAGGAAAATTCAGGGATGTTAACTTACTCTAGGCCTTACAGGCCCAGCTTTACAAACGCAAAAAGTGGCATCTGTACTTAATACATTAACATTTTCAAGCAGAAGGTTAGCTTGGGGTCAGATCTCAGCCGAAAGGCAGCAAGTAAGTGGCTCTGTGGAAATGGTCTCAGGCCATGGACGGCACCAGTATGACTGATGGCAGGAGTGGTGTGTCCTTTGCTTGACTTCATTGCAAAACAGCTTAGGAGCTCTCCAAGGATGGGGTAATTTGTCCCAAGGCAGAACTGGTAATAGGAAGCCAAGTGATAGACTTTATGTCTGTTGGGTATTCACAATCCCTGGCTACAGGGATCAAGATTATCTGAAACTGACCATTTGGCCCCAGGGTATTTTCTAATTTACCAGTTGAAGGTTTTGGATAGTTTTGCACATTACAAAAAAAAAAAAAAACCACAACAAACAAGCAAACAAAATATGTATTTTACACTGACTTCATGTGTCAGACCTGCAAGCCCAGCTTTAGATATTAATATACAAATTATTATATATTTCAGCAGGCTAAATACTGCCCTGCCCTGAACCTGAGGTTTTCTACGCATTGTCAAAGCTTATTTTTTCATAAAAGTCACTTCAGAATCTTTTAATTTATTTATTCTTAATCTGCTTGTCATTGAGTGGGCTGAATAAAAGTGCCTAAAGGTGCAATATTACAACAAAATTAAAATTGCTAAAGCCAGTCCTTCCTTTTTCTCTCTCTTTTTTCTCGTAGAACATTCTTGCTCCTTCTCTAGCATAGATAATGCAGTGCTCATCTATCCCCACACCAAGTCAGTTCAGGAAACAGAAACTTTTGTAAGCAAAATTTCTCCAGATTTCCAGTAGGTCCCTTTTAGGTACTGGAAGGCTGCTCAAAGGTCTCCCTGCAGCCTTCTGTTCTCCAGGCTGAACAAGCCCAACTGTCTCAAGTCTGTCTCCACAGGAGAGGTATTCCAACCCTTTGATCGTCTTCATGGCCCTCCACTGGACTCACTTGAGCAGGTCCACATCTTTCTTGAGTTGGGGGCCCTGGAGCTGAATGTCATACTCCAGGTGGGGTCTCTCACGAGAGCAGAGCAGAGGGGCAGGATCACCTCCTTCAACCTGCTGGTCACGCTCCTATTGATGCAGCCCAGGATACGGTTGGCTTTCTGGGTTGCGACTGCACACTGAAGCCGGCTGATGTTTCTTTTCTCATCGACCAACACCCCCAAGTCCTTCTCCACAGGGCTGCTCTGAATCTCTTCTCTACCCAGCCTGTAGCTGTACTTAGGATTGCCCTGACCCACGTGCAGCACCTTGCACTTGGTCTTGTTGAATTTCATGATGTTCACACAGGCCCACCTCTCAAGCATGTCAAGGTCCCTTTGCATGGCCTCCCTTCCTTCCAGCATGTTGACTGCACCACACGCCTGGGTGTCACTGGGAAACATGCCGAGTGCACACTCAATTCCACTGTCCATGTTGCTGACCACAATGTTAAACAGTGCCAGTCTTACTACCAATTGTGGAAGAACAGCACTTGTCAATGATCTCCATGCAAATATCAAGCCGTTGACCACAACTCATATTAGAACAGCATGATATGATATACATGAATATAAGACATGAATCAGAAAAACCAACCAGACAGACAAACTCAGTAATCTGAAAAAAAGCCCAAAGCATTAAGAAATATTTCCATGGAAAACAAAAACCCAAAACCCAACAACAAAATAAAACAAACACAACACCACCAGAATTAGATTATCTCAGTAGATTCATCTCTTCTGGCTAATCAAAGTGGTAATTTAGAACTCTTTGAGAAGGTCTAGATATAGAGAAAAACACCAACCTTAGTAAGTTTCCTCTGAAGAATATACACCTTTAGAACATGCTTGCTTTGGATATTTGGAGGTTTATGGGCATCACATGGAAAGAAAAACCACCAAAAATAGTCAGCGAGCCTTCTAGTGTTTCCAAAGGACAAGGGTTATCCCAACTAGACACACACATGAATGGCTATTTAGCAAAAAGTTACTAGGACTCAGTGTTACTGTCCATACTAGACACAGCCCATAGATACAGTACCCTAAAAAAACGCTACCTTAATCAACACTGTTTGCTGGATGAGTGATTTTCGGCTTCAGACCCAGCAAGGAACTCTCCATTTCTAGAACCCAGTACATCAGAAATACTCTATATGCTTTCCTCTCTGTGGAAACTACAAAACTGTATCAAGTTTTCCAGTATTGTCTATTTGTGAATAGATTTATTTTCTACGTAAGAATGAAAAAGTTCTAAAATACTGAGCAGCAATATGAACAGATCCAGCCCACCGATAACTATTCTTTGAAGTGCTACGGAAAACTCTTAGCAATGGTAGTTCAGGAATTAATTTTAACAGGGGGTTGGGTTTTTTTTTTGAGAAATCCCTCTATCTCTGCAGTCTTCACCTTTTTGTTTGCATGAGACAGCCCCAAATCATTATCTCCAGGCTTTTTTAATTCCCAAAGGCCCTTTTAATCCTGTCTCTGGCTACAAGTACTGTTGATCACTTAAAATGTCTAAATAAAGATTACTATTATTGAGAACATCCATATTTCAACATAACATTAAGGATCCTGTTAAAAAAAGAAATTCCTTATGACGAAGAGTATAACAGCTTTCGACCAGATGATTCCAGATACAAAGTCTTCTACAGTCTAATAAAATCATTCACCTGAGTACTTTCAATTAATTTCTTATTAGTCCTCCAGGATGTCAATAGGCAGAGTTACATATTCCTCAGTCCTTCTAGTTTTACTAAGATACATTCATTGAATCTCAAACTCCAGAAGAGCCTTACTGCACACTAGGAAGCCTTGTGTCTACATTAATAAGTCTGTTTCCGATGGAGCTCTACTTCTGTTCTACTATAGCAAAGTGTGTTATTGTAATTGATATCAGCAAAATCATCTGGAAGAAAAAGGTGAAGGTCTGACATTACGCACTAAAGGACCTGTGCATTTCTTTCTTGAGCTCTAAGCAAAGTATTCTGAAACATAATTTTGAAATCATAAACCCACTGAACATTAGAAAAACAAAGTAGGAATAAAAAACAAAAACAAAGAAATAAAAAACCCCACACACATTTGTTCTCCAGAAGCAAAAAGCAAATACAAAAGCCTTTTCTACAGTTATAATGCTACCCAACCAAAAGGTGATGATAATGTACTCCCATTTGTTCATATTTTAGTTACTGCCGGCTTCCAAAGCACTCTGACACAGTGTCTACAGGGGATGCAAGACACGTGAAATGTGCAAAATACAGTTCTATTCAAACTGGAGTACCCAGGAGTTCAGGCACAAAACATGGCCAGAAAACAAGAGTGATGCTGAATAAGCACAGTAATAGTGGTATTTAGATGCAAACTACTGCAGTACCAGGTGGAGTGAAAATAATAACAAGGTTTATTTTTAGCAATTACAT